ATTTATTGACAACACTGTAGCTTCATTAGACAATGGACTTTCAACCATCAAAGGCGAAACCTAATTTGATTTTAGAATCCGCGCTTGCGGAGCTAGTTTATTTGAGGGCGGACCAGGGGAAGATTTAATCCAGCTATGAGCCAAAGGCAGAAGAGGCAAATATGTTATAAATTCCACACAGAGAATCTTTAGGAGATTTTCCTTTGAAGTTGGAGCCTGAAAAAGCCTTCAACGATTAAAGGTGAAACCTAATTTGACTTCAGCGTCGATTGTGCCTGCGTATCTGGTTTGTTTGAGGGTGGACAAGGGGAAGAACTGAAAAACTGTTTGGAAGATTCAGTCATCCTTGGTCATGGTAACTTAATAAGTTTTGGTTGTATCAGTTTTGTTTGAGTAGGAGGATATAAAATCCATGGTTAGAAAACGTAAATTTAAATTTTACTTGATTTTCATTATATTTATTGACAGCAGTTACATGTTGAACTACTTTGTAGTTTCATCAGCAATGGAAAGTTCAAATCCTGATATGAGCCAGAGGCAGAATAGAAAATAATTAGAAAATTCCACACACAAAACGTTTACAAATAGTAATTTCAGTAGGTGGATATAAAATTCATGGGAAGAAAACGTTAATTAAAATTTTACTTCATTTTCATTATATTCATTGACAACAGTTGTACACTGTATTCATTAGACAAAGGACTTTCAACCATTAAAGGCGAAACCTAATTTGATTTTAGAATCCGTGCTTGCGGAGCTAGTTTGTTTGAGGGCGGACCAGGGAAAGATTTAATCCAGCTATGAGCCAAAGGCAGAAGAGGAAAATATGTAAATAATTCCACATAAAGAATCTTTACGAGATTTTCCTTTGAAGTTGGAGCCTGAAGAGGCCTTCAACCATTAAAAGTGAAACCTAATTTGACTTTAGAGTCGATTGTGCTTGCGTATCTAGTTTGTTTGAGGGTGGACAAGGGGAAGAACTGCAAAACTGTTTGGAAGATTCAGTCATCCTTGGTCATGGTAACTTAATAAGTTTTGGTTGTATCAGTTTTGTTTGACTAGGAGGATTTATAATCCATGGTTAGAAAACGTAAATTTAAATTTTACTTGATTTTCATTATATTTATTGACAACAGTTACATGTTAAACTACTTTGTAGTTTTAACAGCAATGGAAAGTTTAAATCCTGATATGAGCCAGAGGCAGAATAGAAAATAATTAGAAAATTCCACACACAAAATGTTTACAAATAGTAATTTCAGTGGGTGGATATGAAATACATGGTAAGAGAACGTTAATTAAAACTTTACTCCATTTTCATTATATTTATTGACAACAGTAGTACACTGTAGCTTCATTAGACAATGGACTTTCAACCATCAAAGGCGCAACCTAATTTGATTTTAGAATCCGCGCTTGCGGAGCTAGTTTATTTGAGGGCGGACCAGGGGAAGATTTAATCCAGCTATGAGCCAAAGGCAGAAGAGGAAAATATGTTATAAATTCCACACAGAGAATCTTTAGGAGATTTTCCTTTGAAGTTGGAGCCTGAAAAAGCCTTCAACGATTAAAGGTGAAACCTAATTTGACTTCAGCGTCGATTGTGCCTGCGTATCTGGTTTGTTTGAGGGTGGACAAGGGGAAGAACTGAAAAACTGTTTGGAAGATTCAGTCATCCTTGGTCATGGTAACTTAATAAGTTTTGGTTGTATCAGTTTTGTTTGAGTAGGAGGATATAAAATCCATGGTTAGAAAACGTAAATTTAAATTTTACTTGATTTTCATTATATCAATTGACAACAGTTACATGTTTAACTGAGGCAGAATAGAAAATAATTAGAAAATTCCACACAAAAAGTGTTTACAAATAGTAATTTCAGTAGGTGGATATAAAACCCATGGTAAGAAAATGTAAATTAAAACTTTACTTCATTTTTATTATATTTATTGACAACAGTTCTACACTGTAGCTTCATTGGACAATGGACTTTCAACCATTAAAGGCGAAACCTAATTTGATTCTAGAATCCGTGCTTGCGGAGCTAGTTTGTTTGAGGGCGGACCAGGGGAAGATTTAATCCAGCTATGAGCCAAAGGCAGAAGAGGAAAATATGTAAAAAACTCCACATAAAGAATCTTTACGAGATTTTCCTTTGAAGTTGGAGCCTGAAGAAGCCTTCAACCACTAAAGGTGAAACCTAATTTGACTTAAGAGTCGATTGTGCTTGCGTATCTAGTTTGTTTGAGGGTGGACAAGGGGAATAACTGAAAACCTGTTTCGAAGATTCTGTCATCCTTGGTCATGGTAACCTAATAAGTTTTGTTTGGATCAGTTTTGTTTGAGTAGGAGGATATAAAATCCATGGTTAGAAAATGTAAATTCAGATTTTAGTTGATTTTCATTATATTTCTTGACAACAGTTACATGTTGAACTACTTTGTAGTTTCATCAGCAATGGAAAGTTTAAATCCTGATATGAGCCAGAGGCAGAATAGAAAATAATTAGAAAATTCCACACACAAAATGTTTACAAATAGTAATTTCAGTGGGTGGATATAAAATTCATGGTAAGAGAACGTTAATTAAAACTTTACTCCATTTTCATTATATTTATTGACAACAGTTGTACACTGTAGCTTCATTAGACAATGGACTTTCAACCATCAAAGGCGAAACCTAATTTGATTTTAGAATCCGTGCTTGCGCAGCTAGTTTATTTGAGGGCGGACCAGGGGAAGATTTAATCCAGCTATGAGCCAAAGGCAAAAGAGGAACATATGTAAAAAATTCCACACAGAGAATCTTTAGGAGATTTTCCTTTGAAGTTGGAGCCTGGGGAAGCCTTCAACCATTAAAGGTGAAACCTAATTTGACTTTAGAGTCGATTGGGCTCGCGTATCTAGTTTGTTTGACGGCAGACAAGGAAAAGAACTGAAAAACTTTTCCGAAGATTCAGTCATCCTTGGTCATGGTAACCTAATAAGTTTTGGTTGTATCAGTTTTGTTTGAGTAGGAGGATATAAAATCCATGGTTAGAAAACGTAAATTTAAATTTTACTTGATTTTCATTAAATTTATTGACAGCAGTTACATGTTGAACTACTTTGTAGTTTCATCAGCAATGGAAAGTTCAAATCCTGATATGAGCCAGAGGCAGAATAGAAAATAATTAGAAAATTCCACACACAAAGTGTTTACAAATAGTAATTTCAGTAGGTGGATATAAAATCCATGGTAAGAAAATGTTAATTAAAACTTTACTTCATTTTCATTATATTTATTGACAACAGTTGTACATTGTAGCTTCATCAGACGATGATCGACTTTCAACCATCAAAAGCGAAACCTAATTTGATTTTAGAATCCGTGCTTGTGGAGCTAGTTTGTTTGAGGGCGGACCAGGGGAAGATTTAATCCAGCTATGAGCCAAAGGCAGAAGAGGAAAATATGTAAAAAATTCCACATAAAGAATCTTTACGAGATTTTCCTTTGAAGTTGGAGCCTGAAGAGGCCGTCAACCATTAAAGGTGAAACCTAATTTGACTTTGGAGTCAATTGTGCTTGCCTATCTAGTTTGTTGCTCGCGTATCTAGTTTGTTTGACGGCAGACAAGGAAAAGAACTGAAAAACTGTTCCGAAGATTCAGTCATCCTTGGTCATGGTAACCTAATAAGTTTTGGTTGTATCAGTTTTGTTTGAGTAGGAGGATATAAAATCCATGGTTAGAAAACGTAAATTTAAATTTTACTTGATTTTCATTAAATTTATTGACAGCAGTTACATGTTGAACTACTTTGTAGTTTCATCAGCAATGGAAAGTTCAAATCCTGATATGAGCCAGAGGCAGAATAGAAAATAATTAGAAAATTCCACACACAAAGTGTTTACAAATAGTAATTTCAGTAGGTGGATATAAAATCCATGGTAAGAAAATGTTAATTAAAACTTTACTTCATTTTCATTATATTTATTGACAACAGTTGTAGCTACAATAGCTTCATCAGACGATGATCGACTTTCAACCATCAAAAGCGAAACCTAATTTGATTTTAGAATCCGTGCTTGTGGAGCTAGTTTGTTTGAGGGCGGACCAGGGGAAGATTTAATCCAGCTATGAGCCAAAGGCAGAAGAGGAAAATATGTAAAAAATTCCACATAAAGAATCTTTACGAGATTTTCCTTTGAAGTTGGAGCCTGAAGAGGCCGTCAACCATTAAAGGTGAAACCTGATTTGACTTTGGAGTCAATTGTGCTTGCCTATCTAGTTTGTTTGAGGGTGGACAAGGGGAAGAACTGAAAAACTGTTTCGAAGATTCAGTCGTCCTTGGTCATGGTAACCTAATAAGTTTTGGTTGTATCAGTTTTGTTTGAGTAGGAGGATATAAAATTCATGGTTAGAAAACGTAAATTTAAATTTTACTCGATTTTCATTATATTTATTGACAGCAGTTACATGTTGAACTACTTTGTAATTTCATCAGCAATGGAAAGTTTAAATCCTGATATGAGCCAGAGGCAGAATAGAAAATAATTAGAAAATTCCACACACAAAATGTTTAAAAATAGTAATTTCAGTAGGTGGATATAAAATCTATGGTAAGAGAACGTTAATTAAAACTTTACTCCATTTTCATTACATTTATTGACAACAGTTGTACACTGTAGCTTCATTAGACGATGATCGACTTTCAACCATCAAAGGCGAAACCTAATTCGATTTTAGAATCCGTGCTTGCAGAGCTAGTGTGTTTGAGGGCGGACCAGGGGAAGATTTAATCCAGCTATGAGCCAAAGGCAGAAGAGGAAAATATGTAAAAAACGCCACACAAAGAATCTTTACGAGATTTTCCTTTGAAGTTAGAGGCTGGAGAAGCCTTCAACCATTAAAGGCGAGACCTAATTTGATTTTATAGTCGATTGTGCTTGCCGATCTAGTTTGTTTGAGAGCGGAGAAGGGGAAGAACTGGAAACTGTTCCGAACATTCAGTCATCCTTGGTCATGCTAGCTAATTTAATAAGTTTTGGTTGTATCGACAATGGAAAGATTAAATCCAGATATGAGCCAAAGGCAGAAGAGGAAAATAGTAAGAAATTCCACACTAAGAATCTTCAAGAGATTTTTTTCAGTTTTTATTTTTTTTAGTTTATGGTTATAAAAAAAGAGGTTTGTATGAAATATACATTGTCTAATCAATATTTTTTATGGGTACATTAAGGGGTAGACACAATGTCAAGTGGCCTCTGGACATTTGTAATGATATACATAGTAATGATACTAGATCTCAAGAAAATATTTATCAGATTGAGTAACAACAAAAATAGGTTCAAATAATCGAGTTAACAAAAGCGAGTGAAGTATACAATCTGAAAATATTAGAAATATAAAAAAAAATAATAAATTAAATATAATATATAGTATTCTAGAGCTTCAGCCACTAATTAGAGAGTTATTTTATTTGTGGTCAACAGTTACAATATGTTTGAATACTCTCTGTAGCTTCATGCTACATCAGCAATGGAAAGTTTTGATCCCGATACAAGCCAGAGGCAGAATCGATAAATAATTGAAAAATTCTACATACAAAGAATCTTTACAAACAGTAAGTTGAGTAGGTGGATATAAAATCCATGGTTAGAAAACGTAAATTAAAATTTTAACCTGAATTTCATTATATTTATTGACAGCAGTTGTAGACTTTGGCTTCATTGAACAATGGAAAGTTTCAATCCAGATATGAGCCAAAGGCGGAACAGGAGAATGAGTACAAAATTCCACACAAAGAATCATTACCGAGATTTTCCTTTGAAGTTGGAGGCTGGAAAAGCCTTCAACCATTAAAGGCGACATCGATATTTGATTTTAGAGTCGATTGTGCATGCGGATCTAGTTTGTTTGAGGGCGGACAAGGGGAAGAAACCGTTCCGAAGATTCAGTCATAACTTAATAAGTTTTGGTTGTATCGACAATGGAAAGATTTAATCCAGATATGAGCCGAAGGCAGAATAGTAGAATAAGTGAAAAATTCCACACTAAGAGTCTTTAGGAGATTTTTTCAGTTTTTTTTCTTTTAGTTAATACTTATAAAAAAAAGAGGTTTGTGTGATATAAACATTGTCTAATCAATATTTTTTATGGGTACATCAAGAGGTAGACACAATGTCAAGTAGCCTCTGGACATTTGTGACTGTTTAAATGTAATGATATACATAGTAATGATACTAGATCTCAAGAAATCATTTATCAGATTGAGTAACAACAAAAATAGGTTTAATAATTGAGTTAACATAAGCGAGTGAAGTATACAATCTGATAATATTAGAAATATAAAAAAATCATAAATTAAATATAATATATAGTATTCTAGAGCTTCAGCCACTGATTAGAGAGTTATTTTATTTGTGGTCAACAGTTACAATATGTTCGACTACTCTCTGTAGATTCATGCTACAGCAGTCCGGCCGGCTCCATCTGAACCGGAGCTCCATTGCCGATAGAACACTTCTCTCATAATTAGCGCTGTACTAGAGATAAGTAACTTCTTCTAAACCGTAACAAAACGAGATTAGTATATCTCCAAATATTGATATATCAATACTTTTGCTGAATCCGACCATAAGATATCCGACTGTGGTCACACCAACGCAAATCGCTACTCGTGTGTTCACTACGAACTTACGGATGGTAATAAAGGAAGTACCAGTTTCACGAGTAGAGCCGGAAGAATGTCAGCCAACAAAATTGTTCCAGCTGATATGTAAGCGCAATTTTTTATGTTTGGTATGTAATAGTAAATTACTTGTGTTGTCAAAATTATCACATTGATACCCTGCAATACCGTCAGTATCCATGTTTGTTTTATGTGCCATATCGAAACAGACGATCGTGTTGTAAAGACTCCCACTTGATATGTAACTTGCATCCATCTATTCTGGGATTTTAATGATATCGGAGTGTCAGGAAACTCAATTAGTTCAAATGTGTCCTGATTAATGAAATATTCAAATAGGTAAATGAGACCAATAGGTATCATGTATTTCATTAGACCAGGAATAAGATAAAAATTTCCTTCTCAAAGACATCTCCTCGTTTTCGAGTATAACTTGATCGTCCGGTTGTCCAGCTTTTCCAGTGGATTCTTGTGGGGGTAAATGGTTTTGGTAACAATATCCAAAACGTCAGGGATGTTATGGCTGGTATGATCAGCATTATCAGTAATGTTGTTTTCATACCTACAGCGAGTATGATACGGCACTCCGGCTAGTCCCATCAGCAATGGAAAGTTTCAATTCCGATATAAGCCAGAGGCAGAATAGATAAATAATTGAAAAATTCTAGACACAAAGAATCTTTACAAATAGTAAGTTGAGTAGGTGGATATAAAATACATGCTTAGAAAAAGAAAATTAAAATTTTAACTTGAATTTCATTATATTTATTGACAACAGTTGTAAACTGTGGCTTCATCGAATGGAAAGTTTCAATCCAGATATGAGTCAAAAGCAGAACAGGAGAATAAGTACCAAATTCCACACAAAGAATCATTACCGAGATTTTCCTTTGAAGTTGGAGGCTGGAGAAGCCTTCATTCATCAAAGGCGAAACCGATATTTGATTTTAGAGTCGATTGTGCATGCGAATTCAGTTTGCTTGAGGGCGGCAAGGGGAAGAAACCGATCCGAAGATTCAGTCATAACTTAATAAGTTTTGGTTGTATCGACAATGGAAAGATTTAATCTAGATTTGAGGCAAATGCAGAGGCAGAAGAGTCTTTAAGAGATTTTTTCAGTTTATATTTTTTTAGTTTTATACTTATAAAAAAGAGGTTTGTGTGATATAAATATTGTCTAATCAATAATTTTTATGGGTAAATCAAGAGGTAGACACAATGTCAAGTAGCCTCTGGGCATTTGTGACTGTTTGAATGTAATGATATACATAGTAATGATACTAAATCTTAAGAAAATATTTATCAGATTGAGTAACAACAAAATTAGGTGTTAATAATCGCGTTAACACAAGCGAGTAAAGTATACAATCTGATAATATTAGAAATATAAAAAAATCATAAATTAAATTCTAATATATAGTATTCTAGAGCTTCAGTCACTGATTAGAGAGTTATTTTATTTGTGGTCAACAGTTATAATATGTTCGACTACTCTCTGTAGCTTCATGCTACATCAGCAATGGAAAGTTTCAATCCCGATATAAGCCAGAGGCAGAATAGATAAATAATTGAAAAATTCTAAATACAAAGAATCTTTACAAATAGAAAGTTGAGTAGGTGGACATAAAATACTTGGTAAGAAAACGTAAATTAAAATTTTAACTTGAATTTCATTATATTTATTGACAACAGTTAGTTGTAGACTGTGGCTTTATTAAACAATGGAAAGTTTCAATCCAGATATGAGCCAAAGGCAGAACAGGAGAATAAGTACCAAATTCCACACAAAAAATCATTACCGAGATTTTCCTTTGAATTTGGAGGCTGGAAAAGCCTTCAACCATTAAAGGCGAAACCGATATTTGATTTTAGAGTCGATTGTGCATGCGGATCCAGTTTGTTTGAGGGCGGACAAGGGGAAGAAACCTTTCCGAAGATTCAGTAACAACTTAATAAGTTTTGGTTGTATTGACAATGGAAAGATTTAATCCAGATATGAGCCAAAGGCAGAAGAGTAGAATAAGTAAAAAATTCCACACTAAGAGTATTTAGGAGATTTTTCAGTTTATATTTTTTTAGTTTATACTTATAAAAAAAGAGGTTTGTGTGACATAAACATTGTCTAATCAATATTTTTTATGGGTGTATCAAGGGGTAGACAGAATGTCAAGTAGCCTCTGGACATTTGTGACTGTTTGAATATGATGATATATATAGTAATGATACTAGATCTCAAGAAAATATTTATCAGATTGAGTAACAACAAAAATAGGTTTAAATAATCAAGTTACCACAAGCGAGTAAAGTATACAATCTGATAATATTAGAAATATAGAAAAATCATAAATTAAATTATAATATATACTATTCTAGAGCTTCAGCCACTGATTAGAGAGTTATTTTATTTGTGGTCAACAGTTACAATATGTTCGACTACTCTCTGTAGCTTCATGCTACATCAGCAATGGAAAGTTTCAATCCCGATATAAGCCAGAGGCAGAATAGATAAATAATTCAACAATTATACATACAAAGAATCTTTACAAACAGTAAGCTGAGTAGGTGGATATAAAATCCATGGTCTTTTCATTATATTTATTGACAACAGTTGTAGACTGTAGCTTCATTAAACAATGGAAAGTTTCAATCCAGATATGAGCCAAAGGCAGAATAAGAGAATAAGTAAAAAATTCCACAAAAAGAATTTTCACGAGATTTTCCTTTGAAGTCCGAGCAAATACATTTTCTAATAAATATATTTTAGGGCTAGACCGAGGGGTAGATACAATATGTCAAGTGGTCTCTGCTGGACCTTAGTGACTGTTTAAATGAAAGTTGCTTTTTCCAATCTACCAGATGTACAGTGGTTATAAAATTTTTAATAGATTGTTTTTTTGAGCTTATCAAATGGGCACTGAATGCACAGTGTGCTCTGGGTAAGCTGGGGTGTTGAAACTCACTGGATTCTTGAAGGCAGGCATGGCAAAACATACACCATGGCTCTGGTTGGGGCGCTTTGATTATTTATCCAGGCGAATATGGTCTGGTCGTTGGTTTGCTTAGGTCAGTGTAGGCGTAGCGACGCGTCTTTGTTGGCCCTGTGGTATCAACTTTAGGACAAAAGGGATAAGATGCTAGATTACTAGACACGAGGTCCCACTTACCTACACTTCTCGGAGTCACCATCACCATCGTGGCGATTACGTCAAGAAAGGCCAATGAAGAATTAAGAAACAAGAAACGAACAGACTTCAGTGCATTGGTTTAGTGAGAACTTGTACGTGAAATTTTTTAGCACTTATTTTCCCAGTTGGTATCTATCAAATAGCTTGTTCCCCTGGTAATACAAAACAAGAATTTTTGGATGGGTTCACAAGATCAATGAAAAATACAAGTACACCTATTTTCCTAGACATAAATATTTCACATTTACTACAATAGAACATAAAGTATATGAAAATAGCAATTTGGCTTAACTCAGATAGTGGAAAGTGAGTCTGGCTGAAAATTTTGGGATCTTCAATTTTTCACTTGCCAGACATACGGGGTCTTTAATACTGTTAAGCCATTATAGGATGTAATGGTCTGTAATTACGGTGAACTTGGTTCCTACCAAGTAGGGTCTTAACTTTTCACTAGCGAACAAGGACGGCTAAACATTCCTTTTCAGTCGTCGAATATTTTCGCCCATTTTTGGTCAAGGATCTACTTAGATAGCAAATTACATGCTCTTCATCATCGTGATTTTGAGAAAGTACGGCACCCAACCCAAAGTCGAATGCGTCGCATTGAACGGAGAAGGGAAGATTAAAATCAGGACAAGAAAGAACCGAGGCTTTAATGAGATATTCTTTGACTGTTTGAAACAACGCCTTCTCACAATCAGAATCCCATGCAAATTTTACATGTTTCCTGGTAAGAGCTGTCAATGGTTACATAACGGCAGAAAAATTAGGCACAAATCTGCGATACCATGATGCCATACCAATAATCCGACGTACCTCTGAAACAGTGGTAGGAGTGGGAATTTCAAGGATAGCCTCAACTTTGCCAGGATCCACCAAAAGACCTGAAGAATTAACTACATATCCAAGATACTTCAGCACCGGCTTACATATCTGGCATCTCTCACGATTCAATACGAGCGTCGAAATTACGCTTGATTACTTCTCTTAAGACTCGCATATGCTCGTCAGAGGCCGATGTGCATATTATTACGTCATCTAAATCGACGAAAACCTACTCTGTCGATAAGCCGTTGCCATACGTTTAACCCGGCATTACACGCGCCAAAAAACTTAGTGTACGGCCACACAGAAAGCGATTCAAGCGGCATTGAATGCGTTTTGGCGTCTACTTCATATGCTTTTTATGCGTTCGAAGATTTTCTTGCGAGTTGTGTCCAAAGAAGAAAAGAAGCTGCGTGTTGCTTGTTTGTACTATGCAGTTTCTTTAGGTATGTCGAGGAGTGATAATTACGAAAGATATGACGTACCCAGAACATAAATCTTGAATAAGATTATGGTGATGAGACTCTCTGAGTGGGTCCATGAACCAAGAGAGAACCACAAAGGGTGAATTTCATACTTTTTTCTCCAGTTGTGGCAACATCCTGATAAATTTTTTGAATACTATAGAATAACCATTGAAACCTTTGACTTAAATATTGAAAAGACATTTCAAATACCTAAATGAAAGAAAACTAGGCATAAATCGTCAAAGAACGCACGCTGAACGCGCTCAAAAAACAAACTGATTTGTTTTCATTTGCGATATAAATTCTTTTTCGTCTATAGCTTAAGATGCGCAAAACGCAAGAAGCGTCTTGTCGGGCCACTCGATATATATTACATTATTTTAATTCTAGTAGCATAAGACGTTCCAAACACTTTAGTCGCCAAGCGCGTTAATGCCGCTTCAAACGCGTTCTGTGTGGCCGTACACTTACGTCGTTACACGCGTTCAGACAAATCGACCGACTGCCCAAAAGTTTATGTGAATTATTAGCGTTTTTCGCGGAAACGATCCCAAGCTTATCCTGAACGCTAAGGTATGACCTACGCAAGTTTACTAATCAATAGTACAATAGCCAAAAGTACTCCCAATATCAGAAAATTCCAATTTTGAACACAAATATTTCAGATACTCAGGTTCACGCGCCTAGTCAAAAGCACCGACTATGAAAACAACGAACCCTTTTTCAACCAAAAACCAAAATATCTTTGGGCCAATGGGTAGTGGAAAACCTGCATCAGGCATTCCTGAATGGACAAAACTGTCACAATTTGTACTAGTAGCGTAATTACTGATTTTATCAATATTTGGTCCTTTTGACCGGCACGCGTGTACTCCCGGGTTAAATTGATATAGCTCACGTGATGGAATAGTGAATGCAGTTAGCGGACGTGATTCTGGGGCAACAGGAATTTGCCAATATGCAGACTTGATATCAAGCGTGCTAAGAAATTTGGCATCTCGAAATTTGTCGAGTGTCGCACTGACACAGGGGATCGGATGAGCATCTGGAATGGTTACACGATTCAGGCTACGATAATCAACGCAAAATCTCCAATTTCCAGACTTTCTTTCCACTATAACGATCGGTGACGACCAAGGAGAGTTGGAAGGTTCGAGAATGTCATCTGCGATCATCTGCTCTAGTTCCTTATGTACGGTTTTTAACAACGCCGGAGACAAGGGATAGTATCGTTGCTTGATAGGTGGGGATTCAGTTTTTATGACTAACTGAACAAGGTTTGTACAGCCTAGTTTATTTTCCATCATTGAAAATATGCTGTCCAATAGACTATCAAGTATATCGCGCTGCTCAGAACTTAGGTTATCAAAGGATTGTAGTGACATAAGTGGGATGGCTGAATGAGCCTTTGATTTAAAACATCATTCACCAGCATTGAGAATATTGAGATCTGGGACAATATCCATTCGTTTAGAGAAATCAACTCCTAATATAGGAGTGTGTGGAACCAAAGGTACTACAAGGTAATCCAGAAGAATAGAGCGGTCTCTTAGAGTTATGGGTAGACGAACAAGTCCAATAATGGAACAGTTTTGACCATTGGCCACCACGCAGTTCGTAATTGGAGAGGGTAGCAATTTACAAATTGATTTCAGAATTTCCCATCCAGAAGAACCAAGGATGGTTTTTGAGGCACCACTGTCCAACAAACCCAATAATTCTTTCCGAATATTTTTACTTTCAAGAAAGGACGTTCGTCGCCTTCGACATGAGCAAGAATGTAATTGAGAACGGCTGTAGTTCCAAGAGTATTGGCCATTTCAGGTGAGAGGCAAGAAATCCGGCCTAATTCCCTGCCAGAGTCAAGTTTTTTGAACAACGTGGGCAAGATTTAGTTGTCACTTGCTTTTTGCCACATTTATAACAAAACACAGTTTTAGATTGTTGGCATTGACGAAACCGGTGACCTGATCCTTCACAGTTCCAACATGTTAGAGTCCTATTGGAGTTAATAGAATCAATTAGAGTTTCTACTTGAGGATCGTCAGCGAAACCTGAAGTCGTACTTTCAGAGCCAACATCTGACGGCAGCATGATACGAGGGTTTTTTATAGGCTAGTTCGGGCTCTAGTAATTTTCGGACATCAGTAGGAGGCGGAACAAACCTCGGTACACGGGATTCTTTTTCCTCTACAGCTTTACATAATCGAATTAAATCCTGAATATCCGAAATCTCATAGGTAGCAAGACGACTTTGAATAAGTGGTAACAAATTTCGACGTATGATATTAAGTTTTGTTCGTTCTGATGGAACCTCAAAAACTTTTCGAGAAAGATTTTCTATTGCTACGACATAGTTAAGTACACGTTCCTGAGCTCCTTGCTTTCGTTGAGGAATTTCATCCCACAATGCAAATTCGTAATCATACGGCTGAAAAGATTCTCTCAGTTGACTCACGAGATCATCCCAATCAGAAAAGTTGCATGTCCGGTACCATAACAGGGCATCACCAGCGAAAAGTTCAGGACAAGCACGCAGCAGTTGTTCTTTCGAAATGCCTCGTGACCGCCTCAGTTCCTCAACTCGTTCCAAAAAATCGTTCACGCTGGATTGTCCAAAAAAAAAAAGGTACCTATGTATAGTTTGTTGGATTTGCAATTAAAACATATTATGACCAAAACTCATAAAATCGATTATCAAATAGATAATACTAAATTGTAACTGGAACCTATCAAAAAAACAATATAAATAATAAATAAATTTGTTTTATTAGTTGTGTGTGTCAAAGGTTTTTGTATAGCACTGCAACTCAATATAATATTAATTAATAATACAGAAATTGTCACATCGCTTTTAAGTAGAGGTGCTAGTGTTGATGTTAAAGGAGAAAGTTACTACTTTGAAAGTAGTATGACCCCTCTGCATATTTGTGCTTCGAAAGCGAAAAAAAATTTCAATATACATATTGCCAAAGATCTTCTAAACTATGATGGTGCTTCTATCAATTCATTAACATCGAAAGGATATACGCCACTTTATTTTGCTTCTAAACGAGGTATTGTAGAAGCTGTGAAATTATTCCTGGATTGGGGTGCTGATATTAATGCTAGCACAAAGGATAATTTAAGCCCACTTCATGTTGCTATTGAGAATGGACATAAAACAGTTATAAAACTGCTCTTAGAATGTGGAACTATAGTTTACAATCAGGACACTGATAGATCCGCACTACACTTTGCTGTTGAAATAGGTTCTTTGTTGATTGTTGAAGAGGTTTTGAAGTATTGTCCTGATGTCAATAATGCAAGTAACAGGAACTCTCTTAAAATCGCAGTGCGCGGCTGTAGAGAAAAAAGTTATGGACATTTGTCCAATTGTTGAGGCTCTCCTAGAATATTGTTTTACTATACATACTGATAATCCAGAATTATAATATGCTGCTATTGAAAAAGGATATTTGAAAGTCGTTGAAGACATATTAAAGTATGATATTGAGATTAATATGTTACACAATTCAACTAAAGAAGGTTTAACACCTTTACATAATGCAGCCAAAAACGAACAGGAAGAAATAGCTAAATTGTTGATTAGCTACGGAGCTAAAATAAATACTTAAGACGAAACTGGAAAAACGCCAATATTTTATGCTACTAAAAATGTTGATTTAAAAATGATCAAGCTAATTTTAACTTATGGAGCTATTGTTAAAGATGATCCTGAGCTACTGTATATTGCTGTTAGGAAAGAATAGAAAGAAATCGTTGAAGCTCTTCTGCAACATGATGCTGATATAAATACTTGTGATAACTACGGAAGAACAGCATTGCATTTCACTGCTTCGGGTCAGCATGATTATTTCCGAGTCCGAGATTATTTCCCTTCTCTATGTTCTGATAATTTTTCAGACTTTTCTTTCAATAATAAAGAGCCTGATAGTAACGTTAAGGGAGAAATCGCCAAACTGCTTCTAAGTAAAGGCGCCCATGTAGACGTTCAAACTGAATATGGTAAAACAACACTTCTTTCTTCCACTAAAAAAGGATATGCAAAAGTTGTTGAAGTTCTTTTGGAATACAATGCAAATGTTAACTTGGCCCTGAAAAGTGGCTTCACTCCACTTCATATATCTGCCCAGGAAGGAAATCTAGAAATTAGCACAATGATTTTGAATAAAGGAGCCAATGTAAATGCTGCAGGAAAAAATGGAATCACTGCACTGCACCTTGCAGCTCAAAACGGCCATGCAGGAGTTGTAAAACTATTGCTAGAATGCAATGCCAAATTTGATTCTGAATTTCAATTTCACAACGCACCACTTCTTTTGGGTAATAAAGAAGGTCATCAAGAGATTATTGAGACTACATTGAAATTTGGGACTGATATTGTCTCGTAGAGATGAATATGGCAGAATAGCACTCCATATCTCAGCTCAGAAGGGAACTCGAAACATAACCGCAATGCTTTTGAATAAAGGAGCCAATGTAAATGTTAGGGACAAAAATGGATTCACTGCACTTCACATCGCTTCTCGAGAGGGAAAAGTAGGACTTGCTACAATTTTTCTGGAGTTTGACTCTGACATTAATATCCAATTCCAATATTGTACGGAAAATTCAATAATAATATTATGCAGCAAATGGCAATAAATATGACTACATTTAAAGTGGATTTCGGTGCGATGTCGTCTAATAAAGTCCTAGTGGAATTATTGTATGTTTCTTCTTGCTGCTGCTGTTGTGGTTCTCTGATGAGAGTTCTCCATTCGGTATCTCCAATAGTTTTATCATGAAAATGCAGCCTCACCTTATAACGCAGGTACGCCAATGACGACGACGGTATACGAGTCGTAAAAACTGCTAAAAGACCCTTATCTATTATTTCATAATGCATTTCTGTCCATGATGTTGTGTTATCCGTTGCGGAAAAGTCCAGCACGATTGACATTTTGTGGACATTGTACGGTCTGTGTACATAGAAACTATTTTGCACAAGGGCAACCAAGAGAACATAGTACGATTGACTTGACACCATCATGGTTAGTAATTGAATGAATTTTAGATTCATTTACACATCCTCAATAAATTGGTGCAATGGTTAATTTAATGCAAACAATTTTTATTGGGAAAACTTTTATTTGGAAAAACAGCATAGAAATTAGTCAACTTCATCGTAACCTATATATTTTGCAATAATATCTTCACCCATATATTTAGCGCCATACTGTTTTAATTGTTGATGTAGTCCATACTGATTCATAAGCACACATAGGCCCTCCAAGGAGATGGAATTAGCCAGAAAAAGATTACAAGACTTGACACCAATTTCATATTTTTCCACAGCTTGCGCAGAAAACCAATCATTAGTGGCGGGCTCTTGCTCAAGTGCTCGAAGTAAAAAGTACACGTCTGTTTCTAAACTAGTACGTAGCAGCTTGTCTTAAACAGGAAGATTGATGATGGCAGCAGGCGTCACCACCACCACCAGTAATTCTATATTCGGACATTTTGACTCTTCAAAGGTTGCTATTGTAGTGTGAAAAAATAAAAAGCAATCCTGTTTTTTATAGTCATTTATTAATACTAATACTAATTTGATCTGGGGGTGGTACAACACGCGTCCAGCTTATCTAAAACCCTAACAATTTTGGTTAGGTTCATAGTAGCAAGTTCTAGAAAGTAGCAGCTACGTTCACACTTGTTCAAGTTACACATGCTGATGATTGATTGCAAAAGATTGCTGCTGTTTTTGACATTGTGAGTTACATTCAAATATTGTAGGCAATCATGATAGTATACAATGAAATTTAAATCCTTGACTTATTCTAATCTATAATTTATGAGAGGACAAACAGTTAAAATTTGTTTGACATCGTCCAAACAAAAACACAATGCACAATTATTCGATGTTAGAGTTAAAGCTTGTTCACCGAAAAACTATCCGACACAAAGAGTGTAATTCTCGGATAACGCCTGTTGTTGACCAGGCACAGCAGAGTCTTTGACGCCAGCAGCAGTTTCATTCACCATCTTGGATAACTTTTCCAGGAATTCATACCAGTCGAAATCGGCTAGAGTTATGCAAGTTTGATCTTCGGGCAAGTTTAGCATGGAGTTTACTATTTTGACTGCTGGCAGTATTCCTCGAGCGACGCTTAGGCCCAGAATCAACTTGAAATTGTTCACATGGTAACTAACTTCGTTTAGTAGACGTTTCTCTTGAGCAATTTCCATTCGACTTTTCAAAATCATACTATCCAAATATTTCCAATAATTTGACGAACACTGCGAATCGTCGCTGTCTTCGGCACTGATATCTGCGTACATTGCATGATTCGATGCACAGGGCTGTGACATTTCACGATGACATCGTGACTATACTGACAAATACTGAGACAAAAATGTAGTATTTTGGGGTTTATAATACCTTTTACGACCCCCACCATCACGTCGTCGAAAATGTTTTAGACCAATCACATGCGAGTATTAAATGGCATCTTTAGTCATGTCAATCTAGCTGTTGTGTCATTTATCGAAGCCTAGCCACTTTACAAGCATTTTGTTGCCTTTTTTTCGTAGCACTTGCTCCACGAGAAATACGTCTGGCTGTTTTGTTTTCTGTAGCTCTTCCTCGTAAAATCCACCGCTTATCGGTTGACCTTGCAAGTCTTCCAACAGGTACGTTATTGGATTCGTAATATGAACTTTGACTATTTCAAAGAGTTATGTAGTCCAGTTTGGGGTATAGCGTATTTGAAAAACATGTTTATACTTGCTTATGCGAACAATGTCACCAACCTTGAACTTTTGCTTACCGGCAACTTTAATATGACTATAGACAGCATCAAGTATCGCCTTCTCATTCTTTTTATTCACTTTACTCGGCTTTATATGTAACGTGCCATGTTTGCTATCATTATAGGCATCAGTTATAGGCCGTAATAAATCCAGCCATTTATGGTTCCCATTCAATGTAAATTGCTTGAACAGCTTTTCTTTAATGGTTCGAATCACTCTCTCGGCAATCGATGCTTTCGAAGGACTAAACCAACTATAATGATGTACCTATTCCATATTTCTTCATTAGACTTACAAATTGAGCATTGTAATACTCCTTTCCATTATCTGAAATAATTTTCTTCGAAATTCTTCCAGATGTTTTGAATATCTCCGCCATGGCGTTGGCAACATCTGGTGCAGATTTTGATTTAATGAGACGCGTCCAAAGGTACTTGGAAAAACAGTCGATTACAACCAATATGTATTTGAATCCATTGTTTTCTACAGCATACTGATCAAGTTGTGCCAGACACGTATTTTTTTTTTAAATGATTGTTGATGCCGAAAAAGTTGAAAGGTACCGCGGGTAGGCACTTGAACGTCAAAGGTTATGGGAACTTCCTGTTAAACCGGAAGTGACCGGTAACGCAATTTCGTTTCAAAAAAGTCAAAAAGTTCCCCTTCTCCCTTCGTATTGAATAGGTACTGCATATAGGAAAATGGAAATAACTGAATTACTTTTAACACATGGAGCTGATGTAAATTATATTATGTATTAAAAAAAAAAAATTATTATATTAAATATAATGTAGAAACTGAGAAATTATTCCTGGATTGGGGTGCTGATATTAATACTAGCACAAAGGATAATTTAAGCCCACTTCATGTTGCTATTGAGAATGGACATAAAACAGTTATAAAACTGCTCTTAGAATGTGGAGCTATAGTTTACAATCAGGACACTGACAGATCCGTACTACAACTTGCTGTTGGAATAGGTTCTTTGTTGATTGTTGAAGAGGTTTTGAAGTATTGTCCTGATATCAATAATGCAACTAACAGAAACTCTCTTGAAATCGCGGTGCGCGGCTGTAGAGGAAAAGGGTATGGACATTTGTCCAATTGTTGAGGCTCTCCTAGAATATGGTTTTACTATATATGTATAGTAATAATCCAGAATTATTATATGCTGCTATCAGAAAAAGGATATTTGAAAGTCGTTGAAGACATCAGTGCCGGCCCGAGGTTACTTTTAGGATGGAGCGAGATCCTAATTTGGCGCCCCTATTTTAAATGTGAATCGTATACTCTATTCACCGATATAAGAAATGTCTTAACATTCAATAAATTATTTGCCTCATTTACTGTGTTCGGTCACGTGCATATACCCCTTATACTGAAGAAAACAAAGGGAATAGTATTGTTGTTGTTGTTTGTTTTCACCTTTTCGAGTCCATACTCAACACTGCAGCCTTAAAGGCTTTTTGTATCTCATTGTATGGACTCTACTCCTTCCCATTCATACTTGCAGATTAGATGATTGGCGGCAGCGCGGGCGATCTACTCGACCCTTACTACTGCGGTCACCCATCCAATCTCCATCCCGACACCACGTTGCTTGGCTTTGAGTAGGGCGTCCTGTCATCCTTTATCAAAGCGCCGACGTGCCGGTAAGGGAATAGTTACCTATGTCATTAGGTAAAAAAAGTGGGTTGCCAATTTTAAATAAGAAACCAGAGCATTGGGCTAGTACAACTCACCCATCTCCCTAACTACCTCTAAGATCTACCTCCTGCTGAGTTTCAGCTCCTGTTTATGACTATTAAATAGTAATAAAATGCAAATGAATTCCTTATATGTATGAATGAAGTACCTATATGCTCGAGCATGGATTTTGATCATTGTTATGGTGGATCATCCCTTCATGAAACCATGTTGTCCATTGATAATGACATTCTTAAAATGTGGGGCGATTTTATCTGCAACAATACCTTCAAAAACATTGGCTACCAAGGAGACCTTTGTTATTGCTCGATAATTTTCAATGTCTGATTTGTCTCCATTTTTAAAAACTGAAATACCATAGGACTTTTGCCAGGCTAGAAAAACAAACGGTATGCCAACTGGCCCAACACCGAGACACTGCTTTAATTTGCAAATTCTGTCAGAAACATCAAGTGGAGATAGCTTAAGCTGCTACCCAAGATCAACCATCATCCTCTCCGATTCAAAATTCGAAAACATTACATATTATTATGTAATATGATATGTCTCTATCTATCTAATCACATGCTAACCACACGCTTGCTTTCTTTCCTTTTTTATCACCAAGGAACGAGTCGGAGCGCCCCCCGAGACCTGGCGCCTGGACCGCCCGCTCCGTTCGCCTTATGGTAGGGCCGGCCCTGGAAGACATATTAAAGTATGATATTGATATTAATATGTTACACAATTCAACTAAAGGAGGTTTAACACCTTTACATAATACAGCCAAAAAAAAACAGGAAGAAATAGCTAAATTGTTGATTAGCTACGGAGCTAAACTAAATACTCAAGACGAAACTGGAAAAACGCCAATATTTTATGCTACTAAAAATGTTGATTTAAAAATGATCGAGCTACTTTTAACTAATGGAGCTATTGTTGAAGATGATCCTGAGCTATTGTATATTGCTGTTAGGAAAGAATACAAAGAAATCGTTGAAGCTCTTCTGCAACATGATGCTGATATAAATGCTTGTGATAACTACGGAAGAACAGCATTGCATTTTACTGCTTCGGATCAGCATGAATATTTCCGAGTCCGAGATTATTTCCCCTCTCTATGTTCTGATAATTTTTCAGTCTTTTCTTTCAATAATAAAGAGCCTGATAGTAATATTAAGGGAGAAATCGCCAAACTGCTTCTAAGTAAAGGCGCCCATGTAGACGTTCAAACTAAATATGTTAAAACAACACTTCTTTCTTCCACTAAAAAATGATATGCAAAAGTTGTTGAAGTTCTCTTGGAATAGAATGCAAATGTTAACTTGTCCCTGAAAAGTGGCTTCACTCCACTTCATATATCTGCCCAGGACGGAAATCTAGAAACTAGCGTAATACTTTTGAATAAAGGAGCCAATGTAAATGCTGCAGGAAAAAATGGAATCACTGCACTGCACCTTGCAGCTCAAAACGGCCATGCAGGAGTTGTAAAACTATTGCTAGAATGCAATGCCAAATTTGATTCTGAAGTTTAATTTCACAACGCACCACTTCTTTTTGGAAGGTCATCAAGAGATTATTGAGACTACTTTGAAATTTGGAACTGATATTGACTCTAGAGATGAATATGGCAGAACAGCACTTCATATCTCAGCTCAGAAGGGAAATCGAAACATAACCACAATGCTTTTGAATAAAGGAGCCAATGTAAATGTTAGGGACAAAAATGGATTCACTGCACTTCACATCGCTTCTCGAGAGGGAAAAGTAGAACTTGCTACAATTGTTCTGGAGTTTGTCTCTGACATTAATATCACATATAGAAATAATTTTACCCCTCACGATTTTGCTCCTCGTAGAGGAGGAAGACATGTTTTCTATCCACGATTTGAAATAATGCATGAAGCTAGTGATTCTGATGAAACTGCCAAAGTTCTTCAAAGGCACATAGTGAAATGAAAAATCGCAACCTTATATATAAGTGCAAAAATTTTAATTCAATCAATAGCAGTGATAAAATACCACCGCATTTTTTGGAGGAATGTGAATAATAAGTGCAATGATAATTCACCTTTTCGCAAAAACATTTACCGTAAAACGGGGATATTTCTGACAGATTTTGAGGTTTTTTGCAATTCTCAAACAGTTCTTTACCACATAAAACTCTAAGAAAAATTTACTATTTATATCCGTCCTTTCGCTACAAAATAGCAATAATAGGAAATTGAATAAAAATTGATAATTCAGCTTTTAATTTGAAAGTGTCCCAATTTTACCCCGTGATGCGGGGTAACTCTGTGAAAGTGCGTTTGTACAATGAAAACATATTGTAACCCCGTCTTTTTTAGTCTGAAACGATAGGAAATGTCAAGAAATATTTGCTTGACAATTTTCTGATATTAAAAACACGGGTATATACATTTTACATTTTAATTGAATATCATACGATATAGTATTTATCAACCTCATATTCAGCCAGAAATTGGAATGTGAACTCCACCAATAGGAAGTTGTCCACATTAGGAGACATGTCGATCCTTTTAGCGTTGTTTTAGGTTGAGCATAAGTTTCTTCTGTACTAATTATATGTCACAAAGTTGCCCCGGAAGGGTCCTCTGTTTTGTTTATTGTTGAAAAAAAAGGGGTCAAATTAATAAATCGTAAGCGATTTCACGTAGATATCCCGACAAGTACCCAAGCAATTGGAAAGTCTTACGAATTTCTCTGAGGATTGTTTAGATTCTGATGTACAGTAGAAAGTTTTGGGAGTTTCGAAAAAGTTGCAAAATCGAGATGCTCCCTTCGAATCAGAATGCTAGTTACCAAGGGAGCGTACTAGCATGCCGAGCGGTCTTTGTAGCGGGTGAGGTATGTGCTTTCACCTGTCGGTAGAAAAATTTGGCTTGGCACGCGGAATTTAAAACGTATTGACTTATTTGATTTGAATTCCACAATGTCACAAAGCTTCCCCCTTGTCACAAAGTATCCCCGTTTTATACGGTGTATAAAAATAAAAATTGACAATAGGGAGCATAATTTTATTTTAGACAGTGGATCGTCAATATCCGCATGTAGCTATGAAAAATACCTTAAATATTTTTCGGGTTACAGGCTTACTCAAGACGCCGCAGTACTAAAAGGGTATAACGGAGAAGGCTGAGAGCCACTTCTTGCCTGAAGTCACCTATAAAGACAGAACTGAAGTTCTTAAAATATATGTTGCTCGCGGAGGGGGACCTAACCTTTTGGGCTGTGATTGGTTGAAAGCGTTCCAGGTAAGGATTCAACTAACTAATAATATTGCAGTAAATGATAAAATAAACAAACTTATTCAGTGCAATAATGAACTTTTTTCTGATAAACTTGGTAAATATAAATATGGTAGAATTCATGTCGAATTGAAAGAAAACTATAAACCAACTTTTTGTAAATTCTGACTTGTTCCCTTGGCACCTGAAATGGTTAAAGAGGGTATTCTGGAAAGAATGGAAAATAGTAACTGGGCGACTCCGTTAGTTCCAGTATTGAAAGAATTTGGAAGTATTAGATTATGCGGTGACTATAAAAGAAGATTAAATAGATTCTTAGAAGAGGTCATCTATTCATTACCGAGAATAGAGGAAGTTTTTGCCAAGTTGAATGGGGGAGAGTATTTTTCAAAAATTGACATCAGATCAGCATACAACCAGATAGAAGTGGATGAAGAAACCTCAGGAATCTTAACCTGGAATACCCAATTGGGGCTTTTTCGCCACAAGAGATTACCATTTGGAATTAAAACGGCTACTGCAATTTTTCAACGTATAATGGACCAGCTCATACAGGGTATTGATGGAGTATGTTCATTTTTGGACGACCTAATCATCACTGGAGAAACCACAGAGAAACACCTGAAAAACTTGGAGTTGGTCTTCAAAAGGTTGACAGAGGCAGGTTTCACATTGAGAAAAGAAAAATGTTATTTCTTTCAGAGAGAAGTAAATTATTTAGGTCATTAAATTAGCAAAGAAGGCATTAAGAAAACAAGCGACAAAATTAAAGCAATTGAAGAAGCACCAATACCGAAGAATGTGTCCGAGGTAAGATCGTTTGCTGGAATGGTCAATTATTATTCTAAATTTATACCAAATTTTTCCACCTTGTTACATCCAATTTACAACCTCCTCAAAAATAATACAAAATTTCAATGGTCAACTAAATGTGACACAGCTTTTAGGGAAATAAAGAAGATTATATCATATGATAACGTATTAATGCATTTTGACCCAGATTTGCCAATAAATGTTACTTGTGATGCCTCAAATGTGGGTATTTCTGGGGTTTTATCACAGATCAAAGACGGCCAAAAAAAAACCGTGACTTGCGTTTCCAGAACTCTGTCTGATTGTGAAAAACGAACCATGGCTACAGTAGAGAAAAAAGCACTTGCAGTTTATTATACCGTCAAACGCTTATATCAATATTTGTGCGGTGTTAAATTTATTTTAGGAACTGATTGCAAATGCTTGGTAGCTCTTTTTGGTGAAAACAAAGAAATACCCCAAATGTCACCAAATCGCGTTCAACGTTGGGCAGCTTTTCTTTCAATGTTTAACTATCAAATTCAATATATAGAAGGTTCAGAGAACCAACTTGCAGATTATTTGAGCAGAAACCCCATGGAAAACCCACACTTTTCTGAAAACAAAAATTTCACCGAATCTCAAAAAAAATGGCCTATTGACAATGCGGAGGTGAAAAGGGAAACAGAAAAAGAACCTGATCTTACAAGAATCATAGAAAATGTGAAGAACAATAAATGGTCTAAAAACATAGATGACAATATTTTGCCATATTACAATAGAAGAAACCAGTTATCCATAGAAAAGAACATCCTACTATGGGGTCATAGAATAACAATACCAAAAAAATTGAGACTAAAAATATTAGAAATAATTCATTCTGGCCATATGGGTATTTGTAAGATGAAAGCTTTTGCTAGATCCTTAGTTTACTGGCCGAAGATTGATGATGACATTGGAAATTTGGCAAGAGCATGTTTTCCTTGCTTGGTAAATAAACAAAACCCACCTAGAACAGACTTGACTCCGTGGGAATTGACCAGCAGACCGTTTCAAAAAATACACATCGATTTTTTGGAGTTTAAAGGAAAGATGTATCTCGTCATCTTGGACTCGTACACTAAATGGGTGGAATGTTTCCAGATGAAACAAATTTCAGCTTACGAAACTGAGGAAAAATTAAAAAAAACTCTCGCAAAAAATGCCGTGAAAACTTTCAAAGGAAAAATTAAGGCAGCACTTGATGACCCAAGAAACTCAAATTTTCCAATTCAAACTTTGATTTCCAGATTCCTATTTACATACAGAACAATTCCACATTCAACAACTGGCAAAACACCCTTCCTTCTAATGTATGGAAGAGAACCCAGAACAATTATATCACAAATAAAAGAGAGCCAACCTTGTAGAAAACCTTCAACCGAAATGGTAAACCCAAACACAGAAACTCAAAGAGACAGACAAATAATAAATTATGGAGGCCGAAAAAGAGAATTTGAAGTGAGGGAAAGGGTCCTGATCAAGGATTATAGAAACCATAACAAGGAGAGTTGAACTTCAGCCACAGTGGAAAAACGGATTTAAGAAACAAAAATAAACCTCAATTTCATAAAAGTAGTGAGTTGAACTCTGATTAGTTCGTGAATTTGCCGATCAATGCAGCCTTGGGGATCGTTTCCTCCTCTGCGGATAGCATCAGCATGGGGGTAGACCGGTCTTCTGAGGGGAATGATTCTCAGGACACCCTTGCTGATATTTCCAATACTAATACCAGTAGTTGTACTTCAGGTAATTCAAATTTTGACCCGTGCTCTGGCGTTTTGACAAACATTGAAACTAAGGATTGTATTGAGCAAATTGACGAGGGACGTAGAGTAAGTGTCAGTGTAAATGTAGATAATAGGATTAGTGATGACCAGCCATGCTATCCAGAAAACTTTGCAAAATCTTCAAAACCAAAAAGTAAAGAATCGTGTTTGGGCCGTAGGTCCACCAGAAAAATTGCAAAACCCTCAAAATTTCAAGACTATGTTGTGGGATCTGATGACGAATTCCTATCCCTGTCGGACTCTGAATAGCATGGCAGGATAAGTTTAAAAATGTAATTGTTACTAATTTAGGTGAATGTAGTTTAGATAAAACCCGACGATCTCGCAACACGAAGGAAGAATTTAATGGGGCGGTACCACCTTTCAAAGACACATAGAAGGTGTTCA